CGTGTGTACTTGTAATTCCCGAGTATCGATCGCCGTGTGATATTTACACCCCAAGTGTTTTGAGATACGAGGATTTGGATTTTGGTGTGGCCATGGTGTCGTTTGTGGGTGTGTCTTCTCTAACTGAGCGCACACCTTCGGCCAATTGCAAACTGGGAATTTCCCAGCAGGCGGTTTTGCAATTGAGTTGCCGTTTTCTAACCGAATTGCAAATTAAGATTCTACTCGAGTGGTGGGTTTTTGGGTGCTCAATTCCATTTAGGTTTGCGTGGAAATCATGAATTTGCACCCTCGTAACATTCGTTTGGTTTAATACAAGAGGGCTCGAAATATTAATCTCTGATACGAGGAAACACTACCAGAATGGCAGAAAATCGTGAAGGTGATGTTCCCTGTTACTTGCTCCTATTGTATGTTGTTTGAGGAAACGAGCAGGCCGTTGTAGTTGCTGGTTTTCTTTCGGTTTACCGAATAACCCAATCCAGACCTGTATTTTAGATACATTTCCTCATCATCAGACTGTTGTTTTAGTTGTTGTGCTCCATGATTACTCTCTTTGACGTTGACTCAAACCATCACATCAACTGATAAGTTAATGCAAACATTCTATTATATATCCATGCTACCAATTCTTCACCATTAGCTTATGCGTAGCCAGTACAGCACTGACGAGCGCACTAACAGTCTGCCACCCGTCATTATACCCTTTTTTACCCAACCCAAAGACATCATATCCGCAGAATACCCAGTCAGCTAGTAGTTTGATGAATGATAGATTTGTCATTAATAGATCGTGCTGTAGTTCCTGTATGTTTGATGACGTAGCAGATGTAGTTGTTCCATTGGCAGTTCCGTTTAATGCTGACTTGTCAGATGTCAGTGTCTGTACACCCCCATTACTACCTCTACCACCAGTACCATTACTACTACTAGAGCTATGCGACGCGATCTTCTCACAAATCACCCCGGCAGCAACCCTATTCTCAACCAAATCCCAATGAATTCCAACAAACCATAACGCATCACTCCACGGTGCAAACCGCACCGCATACCCCGGATCAAGGGCGCCCATCCTGCTCAGCACGACTAGATCATCTGATGTATCCTGTACGATGGAGACGAGCACCATTACACGGCGGATGACATTCAACATTGTTTCGTGAGGTGTCATGTTTGACGGTGGTGGCGATGTGAGTGCGAGGAGCGACGGGAGGTGTTCGAGGGCGTGTCCGATGCGGATTGTTTTACGGGTGGTGCTGAATGTGGAGATCATGTTTGAGGTGCGTTTTATGTGGAGGGCGTGTGTCTGGGATTGATGATGGGCGCGGTAGGTGAATGTGAGATCATGACAGCATGAAAGAGAATAATAAGACATGTTGTATGAATGTATTGCAATACGGTACCTTGAGGATGTCATGATGCAGTATGAATGGCGCGAGAAACAGCAGTGTCTTTGCACCATATTGAGCTATTTTGAGGACCTTGTCTCGTCCGTCTGTCAGGAGGATTACCTTTCGGAGTACGAGTAGTTGTAGTAGGAGCGACGGGCGTGTATCTGGAGCTGCTCCCATGGTTGCTTCTAGTTGGGATTTGAAGAAAACCAAAAAAAATCGGAGTTTGTTTGAGAGGCATCACACGACCTATGACGAAGAGGAGATGAGGATATGGTTTATGCAGGATATACAAGTTCCACACGCGTATTAAGTGATTTTATGTATAAAAGAGTGTCTTTTACTAATATGTAACTGTGATCTGGACCAACAGCACACCTCAAAACACATGGTTTTGTAAAAAGTGGAATTGCGACGTGACATTCCATGTATATCCTGCTCAAATACACTACCATATGCATGACAATATTTCCTTCAATGTAAATCTACTCTTATACCGCGTGTCCCGCGCCTCCAAACTAATATGAATTTCGAATTTTGAACGGAGCCTCAAATCCCACAACCAGAAACTCAGCACAATCACTTCCACCTACCAAAGACAGCAAGAAGACGATACAATATGACTACATACACCCAATCACAGCAAGATCTCAAAAAGAGAAAGCAAGTCAAGAATGCATGTGGTAAGTTCTCCACTATTTCACCTCACTTTTACGAGCATGTTGGATTGTGGGATGACGACGACGGGAGCAGTGCTGCAAAGCATATATCCTATGAAACAATACCTATATGTGTACGAACGCACCGTAGATCTACTACATCGTTTATCTGCGCAGCCATCAAAAAGTGCAGATTTCAAACTCAGGATGTTTGGTCATTGGGGATGTGAAATGGAGACAAGATAGAGAATGGAGAGTGCGTGGAGGTGTACGATGAATCATACTGCTATTTAATCATCATTTGTCATTTTTCCCACTGTGCTTGGAGTGTCGTGGGTGACGATGTGTTGAGTCACTGGGTTAGGACTCCATCAGCATGTTTAAGACATGATGGATAAAACACAAGGAACAAACGATTGATATGCGGAATATGACTTTTAACGCTATATTTATTCGTTTTATAGTCAGCTGCCAGAAGGCATGCAAAAAGTGCGATATGGGACGACCATGTGCGAGATGTGTTCGATATGGACTGACTGATTGTCGGGATTCGGTACGCAAGGAACGCAAGAAGGGTATGTATGGTTGAATGTTAAAAACGCCGTACTTTGTATTGTGCGAATCATCGTTTGAATATTTGGTCAGCTGATTCAGTCACATTATTAACGCTCGTTTTACATTAGGTATCAAGAGAGGTCCATACAAGAGAAAAGATGCTAATGGGTCGAGTGGAGAGTGGTCTTGGGCAGGTTAGTTTGCGTTAATCATTGATTTTATATGCCATGGCTCTTTTTTGGTTGTTGGAGATCATTTAACCACAATACTTTTACATAGAGGATAACGGAGACGATGAACCAACCAACGAATCATCCAAAAAGCGCCGCACTGCTCCAAAACCCAGCACGCCTCCTTCATCTCCTCCTCCATCTGCCCGACCAATGAGAAGCACATCTCGTCGTCTCTCATTTGCTATTGCCCATGACTCGGATAACGATAATGGTATCTATGATATGGACGAAGAAGAAGAAGACGGCGTCCCCGATATAGCATCCTCATCCACAACATCCACACCATGTCCACCTGAAGAGACAGCAGCAGCAAACACACCATTATCACCGTTGGATATCCTATCGCAGTTCTGCTCTGCTATATTAGATTCACAGGCTCCAGAACCAGTATATACTGCGTATGCTCGTCATGAAGGCAATGAGTATGCACGGTGTGATATGGTTGCAAGTTATAATAATGTAGCCGGTGGTGCTCGACCAGCACAACAGCACCACTATTTAAATATCGCTAAACAGCAGGGATTGAATTTGTTGATGCATCCGTATCAGAATTTTGCGTATGCTCCTACGCGTGGGTATATGTACAGGAGTGGGAGTGGAATTGGTGGGAATGGTGTGAATCATGCGCTGCCTACGCCAGCTAGCTCGCCTAATCGGGGGTTTGCGTCGCAGTAATTTTTATTGTGGTGGTGCTATTCTGGATCTATATGGTGAGTTGTTGTGGTTGATACGATGGGATTCATTTCGAGTCTCGTTAAACTTTTTTTGTTTCCAGTAATCTTAGCTGGCTCGTAATAGGCTCTCCTTTTTATATTTTACCTCCTCTTCTTTTCTTCTTGAAGTCCCCCGTTGCCATATATATTAAAACAAGGCCAAATCAAAAAAGCAAGCCTCGTGAAATGAAATGAATCTTCCCCCTTGCGCATGAGTGTACATATTATTATTGATGATGTGAATTATGGATATGACTGGATGATGATGGGTTATTGTTAATGGATGATGTCGTGTGTTGGAAAACCTCTTGAATTGATATTAATGTGTGTGAGTTAAACTGAGACTATTGGAATTCCCCCCTTGCTTGAAAATATATATGGTATGATTAGTATGATTACTGGTGTGTGTGTGTTTGAGGTTTTGAGTTGAAGTGGAGGAAGAAGTGTGGGATTTGGAGTTCGTATGATTCGGTGAGTTCATGTCAACTCGATACGCTTGGAATCTGTTTTGATTGTTATTTTTGATGAATAAAAGAGATACTTATGATGTGAATGTATTGCAATAGGTGCCATCGTGTTTTGGAAATTTGTATAATTCGTCGGGGTGACGATGCATCTATTGGTGTAGTTACTGCTACCAGTTGCAGTGTCGCACCCTCTCTACCTTCAAGGCGCAATATCTGTACGCAAAGGAAATGGTGAAGGCGACAAGTTTCATGCCATTGACAGCAAACCAGCATAACGTCGTCACGACACACAACGAGTCTCAAAGAAGATGCACAAGCAAGATATTCGTGCAGAGTTTTATCATCACTTCATCTGTGAAGGACCCACTAGTCGTTTATTCAGGACTGATTTTCTTGGGATTATGTGCATGATTGCGCTGCGTCACAGTGGAGTGAAGAGGAGATGAAGAGGACGGGATGTGGTAGTGGATATATTCGAACGAAGTCAGTCCTGTCATTTATAGAATGCGCACATTTTTGTGTTGGACGATTTTCTATTTTTGTGACAGGCGTAGACAAAGGTATCAGACGGAAACACACTAACTTTAACACGCAAGAGCGTCTGCACGATTTATGATTATGACAGATTACTCAACATTATGAAAGATTACAAGATAACGGGGCTTGGTGATTGCCTCATTGTGTAATTGCTTTCCATTTTTATCATCTAGTCTTTGTTTGCGGCCGCTGCAACAACAAAAAGTATTTGACGCAACGCTCACAAAATTCCGCCTTCCAAATCGGATCGGACGCAACAAGGGAAATAAGATGGAATGGTAAATCTTACTTTAAATGCTTATTATTACGATGACGCGTAGTTCACGGATGCATTTTGTCGTAATCGAGACTCGTATCGTATTACCAGCCTTTTTCTTCCTGCTTCTCCCGAAATTCCAAACTCCACGAAAATTGTGAACTGCAGAGAGAAGCCAGAGAGGGAAGCATGACAATCATAAAATCACCATATCCAAGTATCCAAATACCTGTTGTTGATTTACCGACCGGTACGAACGTTGTTTCAAATTCTTCACAAACATCACGTTTAACACAGTTTGTACAAAACGTAGGATTATTATTGAACCCTTTGGGATCAAATCCGTCTAAGCGAAATGATATCGCAATGATCCTACACGAGACTGGCGAGAAGCTGACGTATGGAGAACTGGAGTCGAATGTGTTGAAATTAAGTGCTGGATTGAAGAATATGGGTGTTCGCAGGGGATGCGTCGTTCAGATGTTTGGTGAGTCGATCTTATTGAATTCTGTTGTGAGGATTGGGTTTGATGCTGGATTTGGAGTGGTATGATGCAAAAAAAATGCTGCCGTTGACATTCAAATCCCATTTAATAGGTGCGTCCGGACCAGAATTCCCACAAATCGTATGGGCCACTTTGCATTGTGGTGGTGTTATAACGACCGCTAATCCAGTGTAAGCATCATACCTTTCGCTACTCTTCATCAACAAATCCTCACCAATTTTTGCAATTAGGTACACTGCAGATGAACTAGCATACCAACTCAGTGACTCTCAACCATCGTACATCTTCACTACGCCCGACCTACTACCAACTGCGCTTATAGCAGCTGCACAAGCAGGCATCTCTGCAAATTGTATATGCACATACCATGAACGCTGCACAGGTCATAAATTCTGGACTGATTTATTCGTTGATGCGCATGATGCTCCAAGGATAACTTGGACTGAAGATGATATTAAGAGGAAGCCGGCATTCATTATTTATTCCAGTGGGACTACTGGCAAGCCAAGTAAGATTCAAAACGTTTGCTGAAATGATTATACTAGATTTTTGATCCGATTTTTTGGTCTACCATAGAGGGAGTACTACTAAGTCACTATAACGTAACGGCAAACATCTCACAATGGAAATCACTGTATCCCGTATCGTCGAAATATCAGGTTGCGATATTTCCAATGTATCATGCTGCTGGATTGTTAGCCGTTCAGGTAAAAAGACATTTTGTTGCTCCTCGTAACAAATACGCAAATGTCTTAAATGTCAACTGACGACTTTCAACATCATGGACGTCACAACTAGACAATGCTATCAGACGGAAACACACTAATAGTAACACGCAAATTCTCGTTCACGAGATTGTGCCAGATTATTCAAGACTACAAGATAACAGAGATTGGTGCTTCTCCTCCTGTAAGGTTTCCTCTCCTATTTATAGCTTTTTTTGCCAAACATCTGCAAAAAGCGACGACTCAAATTTCACCATACCCACCAGATAATAGTCATGCTCGCCAAATCCCCCCTCACAAAGGAATACAACCTCTCATCGCTGCGCTCAGTGATCTCGGGTGCAGCTCCACTCTCACAATCTCTCTCGCTCGAAGTCGGTCAAAAATACAATCTTACCAGCAAGTTCGTGGGTGATCGATGGGGACAAACAGAGCTTTCACGTACTGGATTGATTACTGCTGCACATGTTAAACCGAAGCTGGGGAGCGTGGGCATGGTATTGCCTAACAGTGAAGCTAAACTTATCGACGAGGAGGGTAGAGAGGTTGATGGGCCTAACAAGCCGGGCGAGATGTATTATCGGGGGCCGAATGTTGCGATTGGGTATCTTAACAGGTATGTCGGGAATTTCGAGGCCTTTTTTGTAGGCATGCAAATTAATGAAATAACAACCGGTGCAATAGGCCGGACGCGACAAGAGAAACATTCTTAGAAGATGGTTTCTTGAGGACTGGTGACCAAGCAATTTACGATGAGGTAAGCAAAAAATTTACATCTTCCATTTACGAACGCACTTGAAATTGCTCAATATCTGTGTTGATGGATACTATTTATTATAGGAAGGCTACTTCTTCATAGTTGATAGACTGAAAGATTTGATTAAAGTCAATGCCCTTCAAGGTAGAGAACCTTTTGCTGTCACAGAACAAAGAAAACTCGAGGTCGGCATATTCTATTATTAATAAGTTGCTGACACCTTACAAATTCTTACACAGTCGCACCAGCGGAAATAGAATCACACCTTCTAGCACACCCAGCAATTGCGGACTGTGCCGTCATACCAACACCAGATGATTTTTCAGGTATTGTGCTTTGGATGTCCGCAAAAATATGAAGAAGCGCAATCTCAAACACTCACATTGACATAGGAGAACTACCACTCGCTTTCATAGTCCTCAAAGACGCATCCCTCCAATCCGTGTCCCTTGCGCACGAAATAATGAAGTTTGTTGATGAACGTGTGGCCATTCACAAGAGGTTACGAGGAGGTATAGTGTGGTGTGATGAGGTACCGAAAAATGCTAGTGGGAAGATATTGAGGAGGGTGCTGAGGGATATGAAGGGTGTTAGTGTTGTTGAGTATTATGGTGGAAGGAGTGGGAGGGTGGCTAAATTGTAGAGAATGGAATATGAGGCTTATCAGTTTTGTTGCAGTAATAGAGTTGAGTTGTTTGCATGTAAGGTGGTTCGAGCACATGATACTAAGCAGGAAGGAAAGGAAGCTCTCTCCTGTCGGAGATGAGAAATGATTGAAATGGTAGTGTGTAAACTGTTGCACAGCACAAGTTTTTCTTTGACATCATTCTTATTACAAGGATATAGCCCTATCCAGCGATATCGGAATCAACATCGGCAGTTTTTCGGCCGGCCCCAGCCAAGGCTCTATTTGCATCACAGCTGTTCATGGGTACAGATCTCCGAGCGTTGCCAGCGAAGAGCTCCTTGTTTTGCTTGATTCCATCGGCGAACTTTTGCAACATTTGGACAAAGGTCGTTTGCATGCTCTCAATCTGGCATAACACGAGTGACGGTCAGCATTTAATTCGACGAAAGGTGTAGAATAGCTTGATCGCACACAAAATGATGCTTGCCTCAGTAAAGACAGATCGGGACTCAAGAACCCCGGTTTTCAAATCACGAAAATCGAATTCACGAGCCCTGACCATTTGAGCTTGCAGAGAGCGGATAGGGCGACTCAAGACGAGTGCCATGGCGGCGCTGAGGAGGCCACCAAGTACTCCAACAATGGTTGTCGAGATCACAATGTTGCGAGAATTAGCATCCACCAGGCCCCAAATGTCGCTTCGAGGGATTACGGTAATAACCATCCAGCTGAGATTGGTTCGGTTGAGCCATTTGACATCACAAAGGAGAGACTCGCCAGTTGTTGAAGAGAAGGTGAGAGACAATCCTTCAGCTGGAATGTTTGACAAAGAGCCGTATTGCGAGGTGAGGTACAGATTAGATTCCTGGTGAAAGGTTAGTCTGCTGCTGTATTTACTATTGACCCATCATATTTCTTACCCGAATGTACGTGTTGGGAGACTGTGCTGCGTTGTAAAACGTAGCACCATAGTTTACTTGGGAAACATTCTTGACTGAGGATGTGACCATCTCTCCAGAAGACGGATAAACAATATAGATCAGTCCGTTCGGAGTCACAGAGAAATCACCCAATGCATGTTCGAGAGCAGATATGGAAAAGGCAATCCAGGCAAATGCAGTGTAGTGTTGGGCAGGATTTCCGACGTCTAGTGGCAAGTCTTGATAAAACATTCGGAAGTATGGCACTATGGAAGACATGGAAGAATTGAATTACTTGGAAATAGAAGTCGCAAGGGTGCAACAGTAAACTTACAAAAAACCACAAAGTTCGACGTCCCAACTACTGGAATTGCCTCTCTTCTGTGTCCTGCCCACATAGGAGTTAACGCAACTGCTGGAACCCATCCAGTAGCGGGAAGCCATACAGGGATGTTGTAGTAGTAGTTTTGAGTGAACAAGAATGTAGTAGAATTCTAAATTGGTGTGAAGCGTTTAACAATAGTGCGAAGGCGGCAAATTAGGAGAACGACGTACCATTACAGCCTGATATGTCAGAGGATTCAGAACATATTGATAGTAATTTGTTGTCTGAGAAGCTCCTGATCCAGTCGTGACGTCTTGAGCAGCAAAAGTGCTTGTAGTGTGATAATAGCCCATCACTAGGTTTTCACCAAGACTATATCCTGCTGCTTCACAGGGGGTAAGATGCCGTACTGGCTACTGCCAAGAGCGCCAATAAAGCAGGGTTGCCACTGATGTTGACTAAAAGGATAAGGAACCGAGGGGTCAGTGACTTGTGACGTTTCCGTGTCAAGAACAAGATCTCAACGATGAACCAAAAAAGTCAAAAAAACAAACATACGTGATGAGAGACCGGTGGTAGCAATAGCTGGCTCCATACTGGCAAAAGCCATCATTTGAGAATTTTCCGACATTGAGAACAAGCCATCCTCCATACTGATCAACGAAGCGGTAACATTTCCTATGGCTTGATCAATCAGGGAGGTTCTCAAACTTGATCCAAATGTGGTTAAAGATGTAGTGGTTGCACTGGAGAAGAGCAATCCGATAATGAGACATAAGCTGCCAGAAACTAGAATTGTTTCACTGAGCAACACAGCCCAAATCGGGATTGTGAAGCGCCTTACTACTGGCTTTATGCTAACGGAGATTGCGGATGTGAGAGATTATTCAATGATTAGACGTGGACTGATGTTGTCCGGAACTGGCAAAGTTAAAAGCTCGAGTTCTGAGCAGATTCCACCAACAAAAAACAACGCCTGGTAAAAGTTCACAAACCACACTGCAATTTCATTCTTACGTGCGCATGATGATGTGGATTAAACAGAGAGGTTTCAGTAATGACTGCAGAATTTTGCATCGTATCGTTGAAATTTGATAAACTTGACGGAAAATATGACCCACATCTTATCGGTTTGAATTGTCAGGATTTTTGGGGATGTTTGGGGATTTTTCTTCGGGATGCACCACCAAAACCACGTAGACTGCGACTAGAAGCAACGAAAGGAGCAGCCTTGAAAGCACTGTTGACTCGTTGCTGCTGCCGCCTTGCAACTCCTTACTATTGCCAGATACGTCAACAACAGCTGAAAACTTGTGGTTTGTGATTTGTGGGCCTCGACAGACGTCGTGAAGCCCTAAAAGCTCGACAACGAAGAATTCACGACGTGATAGAGCCCAGTGTCCTTGCTTGCGGCGGCTGAAACGACAAAAGTAATTTGACGCCGCAATGCTATCTAACAAATCTCGTCTCATAAATCGGATTGGACGCAACAAGGGAATTTTCTTAAATGATGATAAATCTTACGTTAAATACTGGTCATTGCCTTGTCTCGTAGCTCGCGGATGCATTTTGTTGTAATCGGTTCTTTTATATAGCCATTTTCTTCCCGCATCGAGTCTCCCGAAACTACAAAATCCAACCTGTTTCCACGAAAATTGTGAGTTGCAGTAAAGATTTATTTTTATTATAAATCCTTTATTTTGGTCAGTCCAAAAACCGACCAATCGACTTTATGTCGACCAATATAATAAAAATTTAATTCACTTGTCAGTTATTTTATAAAGTAATTATAGGGAAGTCAGAGAGGGCAAGATGGCAATCATAAAATCACCCTATCCAAGTATCCAAATACCTGTTGTTGATTTAGCGACCGGTACGAACGCTGGTTCAAATTACACACAAAACAATACACCTTCCCAGTACTTTCCAGCCTTCAAGTCTTCAGATTCTGGGCAACAAGTGACCGGCAGTTGTCTGAGCAACACCTGACTACGATAATTGCAAGTCCAGCAAGCCTAGAAAGTCTCGACTACTTCATAAACACGTTTTACGAACCCAATGCGCTCTCTGGAACTGTCATCATGGCCGCTGTATGGCAAAGACAGTCTTCATACCCGAATATTGAATATTGAGTCGGGTGGGCAGGGAAAGATCGCAGTTGTTGGAGATAAACAGAAGGGTTATTTGGTGATCGCGGAGATGAGGATCATGATGCACTGGAAGAAAGAATTGGATTTCTCACTGGAGGCACGCTGTTGATCGATGGTGATTTTTTTTTGCTGGGTACTCCCTCGTCGAGGTTTGTACGTTCTGAGCAGGTTTACGGTTGTTAAACACAGGAAGCTTATAAATTAATTCACAACATCGATCTTGAAATACCTTCGGCACTTTCTAACTGATGTGAAATCGTCTGTGCAGCAGTGATCAGTGATTGAAATCGTACCCTGTATCAGCGCTTCAGTATAAACAAGGATCAGTAATTTGAATTGTACGTGCAAGTGTAGCGCGCAATCGGCTTCCAGATCGCTTTCTGGCGTTGTTGAGGTCGGTCTGTTGAGATACTTTCTGTTCAGGTTCGGTTTCTAAACGCGAAGCAATAAGCACGAAGTTACGTTTCAAACACAGGTGCATATCTTGTGGTGAGAATGAGTATGTCTGTAGCAGTACTTGTAGGGATCAAGACGAGCGGTAGCGTGACGAGTACTATCAAAGCCTTCATCTCGGTGCGTGTCAAGTTGGTGGACTATTTCTTTTGACGTTGAGCTGAAACATCGTCCAAAATTGTAGATCCGGAAACTACAGTAACTACACTTCACTTCCAGAAAACGGTGTCAAAAACGCGGTTCACATGTTAAAGTTGAAATTCTGAGTGTTTGCATCACAATGTTCGACACCAGTTTTGGACGGCTTTACACTATGCGGTCGGTCCTTTCTTAATAAAGGACTTACATCCATCTATACGTTTAAAACTCAGACTTCTTCTTACACGACGAAAAGCAGGGCCTCTTCTCGTGCTTCGAAATTTGAAAACTTTTCGCAAGCAAAATTTCGTTATTTTCACCCTGAGGAATTACAGCAAGAGGGATTCTAGGCATGCGTTGGCGGTAGAGCCGATACACATCATGAGGAACCTTTCATAAGCCCCTCTCAATAGCGTGAATGCAGTTTGCGCCAACACTGAGAGTGTTGGGCATGTAAGACACAAATAGCATCCAACTTTGGACTTTCCAAGACACTGCAAAGATATGAAACAACAATTGGATTCTTCGTAAGCAGGTTTCGGTTTCGTCAGTCGAATTGAATGTGAGTTCAAATTACGAGTTCAAATTACGTCAGCAGGGATGCAACTTGAAAAACAGCATAGTACAATATCAGCACTGAACCCAACAGTCAAGCAGCTATGCACTTTAGATAGGAAACTTTGCAGTCTTCGGTTCACTCTGAGAACGTTTGTCTCTTGCTAAGGTATGAGAAAGTTATATTTTCAAGCAAACCGTTTACAGTCGCTTGGGAAGATTATGGCAAACCATCAGTGAGGAAGCGCATCGCATTTTGTGATGAATTGTATATTTTGAGCCTTTGCTGCTGCTTTTCTTTCCAACCCCACTCTCTGTGCTATGAATAGAGACATTTACTAGATTCGCACATCTGATACGCTCATCTATCTTGGAAACCTCACCAAAAACGATGCCCTACCATCTCTCGTACTGGACATGATACTCTCCTATCCTCACGAAATCGACTGTAACTGGAGAACTTTAAAGTCTGCA